GAAGGCAGAACCTCTCTAGCTTGCTGGGTTTAGTTAGTGCTTTCGACACTGGACTCTCGTGGGTGGATGGTTAATCCATTAGCGCTGTGAGCGGTTCTGAGGGAAGTGACAGTGCGTCTGCTTTACAGGAAACTTCATTCATCTACGTTTTATTGTGTTCTAGAGATTGTTTAAAACCTTAGACATTTAACATCAAATGTCTTCAGCAGATAATGCCAGGGACTCGGCCAGAGAGTGTATTCAAATGGTATTTTCTTAATTACACTTCCAGGTAAATGCAAGGTAGGACAGTGTGATGTGTTTAGGAGTTTGCAAAGAGGATGGAAGATGACAGAGTTGTCAGGGCCTTGTGGACACCTTGTCTGCCCTGAGCAGCCTCACCCAGGGCCTGTGCCTGCTGCCCAGAAGCCCTCTCCTTCAGACCCTGTGCCTTAAGCGTAGCCTTGCCACCAGCTCAGCCTCTGGCACTGCCACCTTGGTGGACCTTGGACGTGTGTTGTAGCCTTGTCTCCAGCCCTGTGTCCAGCCCTGTCTGCTGCTGCTCCAGACTGGACTCCCTGGGTGGACCTTGCACCTCATTCATCTCCTGCACTTATGTGGGGCACTCTCAGTGGACTGTGCTTTGCCCACCTTGTTTTGATCTGTTGGGACTGTACCCAGGTCTCTGAGACCACTGCCTGTGCTGCGGTCACCCCGGGCTCCTGGCTCATGCCCTTGCACAGGATTCCTGACCTCACTGCTCCCAGATAGGAATTTCTCTTAGAAACTGATCTTTTTTTTAAAGTACTTTTTCTTTCAAAGTAGAAGTCCATGTGAAACTGAAAACTGAGTTTTAGCAGATAAGAGAGATGTGCCTTTCTTAAAAAATCTACATATATTTTGCCTTTACAAATATGTTCCTTAATTATGTTTTCCCCCAAGAAAATCTCTCAGACTGGAAAAAAAAAAAAAAACAAAACACAAAAAAAACCCCCCACAAAACAACAAAATTGAAACTGTCTTTGACCATAGTTTCCATGTTCTCTGAACAGGTTTATTGAGCAACTCTTTCAGATACGCACTTTGACAAGCATCTGGTAATTCTCTTGCTGTTTTGTAGTTGCCTTTGAGCAGCAGCAATGGAAAAGCTCTGTCTCCACACAAGCAAAAATGCCTCCTTGTGATTTTGTGCCTGAAAAATACGAAGTAAGTCATACATACTACGCTGAATTTAAATAAAACAACGGTACCAGGTTTGAGTGATAGGCTCCTCTGCTATAAATAGTGCATTAGACATGGTTGTAAAACTTGCTTGTATGGGTAAAACCCACTTCTGTTACAAGCAAGATAGAATCCGTAGATGTGCTTGTGTGAACGTTCTCTAACTTGTGGCTAAATTGGTGATTTGAAAAACTCTTCTAAGGAAGAGATAAGTCCAGAACAGCAGACTTATTTCAATAGCTGAGTTTCAAAGGCTTGTAGAATCCTCTGTGTGCCAGAATTTTTTAAAATCTTAGTTCAATGAACAACTGCTGTGCCATAATCTGTCTGATCCACTACAGCACCATTAGTCCGGATCCTTAGGAAGTACAAATGGATACTGACTTTTTTGTCCCACTCAGTCCTATCCGTACGAACGCATGGGGAAGATTCGTGAACAAAATGTTTCTCCTTCACTGCGGATGTATTACAAGAAGCCGTTGTTGCTGCATCAAGGACATATGCAGTGGTTGTTTGATTATGATGGACGACGATACCTTGATCTGTTTGCTGGAATCGCCACTGTCAATGTTGGTCACTGCCACCCGTAAGTATGCTACTATTTGGTAGATGCTATAAAATACAAGAGAAGATACCTATTTTGGTTTTGTTCTTTAATCTGTTCGTACCGCGAGCCTAAACCCAGAATATAATTCACTGAGTTAGCATGTGTCACTAATTTGAAGTTAAATTTCTGCTAAATTTTAAAGAATTCATTAACTTTGTCCATTTGTTCATTCATGTGGCACAGTGTCTGCATGTTCAGAATTAACACAGGTAGATGTGCACGTGTATGAGTACTGTGGGGTATGAGCCTGTGGGGTTGGATCACATCATCTGTTCTTGTGCTACGTGCAGGAAGGTAACTATGGCAGCCCAGAAACAGCTTGCTCGCCTGTGGCATACCACTAATGTCTACATGCACCCCTCAATCCAGGAGTATGCTGAAAAGCTAACTTCTCTTCTTCCAGATCCGCTTAAGGTACTTTGCTTCTAACAGGAGCAGGGGCTGGTGAAGGGTTTGTCTGTTTATAAGAAATATTTAATATAAAAATAGTTATTAAATAAATGAAAGCCATGATATCTGTGGAGAAAAAAAAAAATATATGGGGACTACAGAGTATAGGTGAAGAGAGCATGACGGCCCTCAAGGCCTTTCCTTTAGACCCAGATGTAGACTAGCATAATATCCCAAGCTTCTGTTCTGTTTGTTCTGTCCTTGCACCAACACTGTGAAGCATCATTGCAAGCTTAAAAATTACTGAGGGAACTAAGCTGTTAACTAGTCCTCGATGTAGCGAGCCTTAATTTGCTTGATCCCATGAAAATTCACAGTAAAAAGTATTTGACAGTACTTTGTGTAGTGAGCGTTACTGATATTTAAATAAATACACTACATAAATATCCTGTTTCATATGCCGAGAAACAGCGAGAATACTACTTTGTTTTCAATAAAATAAAATAAAAAAAAAAACAACTTGTGATAAAATCAAATTGAGCTAGCAGAAGAGTGTGAAGCTATTGCAGTGTTAGAGATGGAAGAACCGTAAAAACAAAATTAAAGAAGGTAAAGCATCTGCATAGTTTAAGTAGTGGAGAATCTTAGTCACTTCTGAAAATTAACTTTAAAAGCAGTGACACAAGAATTTGAGCTGCTTTCAGACCTCAGTACTTGTATTCAGGATGTCTCCTTAATCCTTATGTTGCTTCCAATAAGCACAGAAAGCTCTGCTTACCTCCTCTGTTCCGTGGTTGTGTCTGTGCATGTCACTCCAAAGAACTAAGGTGGGGACACTGTATAGCCCTTTTCAGCTGTGTGAAGGTTCTGTTCATTCAGTTATGCTCAGTTTGACCCAGACACTCTCATTTTTCTTTGAGTTACTGTTCCATCTGAGGAAAACCTGGAGACTCCAACTCTTAAAGATTTTTCTGAGCTCCCCCTGAGTAGGTCAGCTTGATCTGAGTTCTCAGCTATAGTGTATGGGCAACACTAAGTTTGTTGCGAAGTCAGCTTGTAGTAGTGGTAGGTTACAGCTCATAATGTTGCTAAGTGACATGGTCTGATGCTGAACAAGAAGGCTGTGGTTGTGCACTGTACTGATCCTAAACGTTCTCCTGTAGGTGATTTATCTAACCAACAGTGGGTCAGAAGCCAATGACTTGGCTATGCTCATGGCAAGGCTTTATACTCGTAACTTCGACATCATCTCTTTAAGGTAATGGTGGTAGATTTTTACAAAACTCATTTGCATGTTTGATAAGTCAAGAAGTAATGGAGAATTCTTTGACCCCAGTTCTGCTGAGGAAAACTCTGTAAAAGTATTTTATTTGACAAAGAGGAGTAAAACAGGAGTTAAAGACTTGATACAGTGTATTAGGACTAGTTTGCATACAAAAGACAATCTGCAATTTTTGCTTTTATTCTCAGAAAAAGGTCTAGTCTCTGTGTTCAGGGTGTGCTTTGGTGGACCTCATTCAGGGCCAGACTAGGGTCCAGCAATTGCTACATCGTTCCTCAATCCACCCCTGCAATGCCCCACTTTGGGGGTGTACAAAGTGCCTCTGGAACAGCTGTGCAGCAAGCCACAGCAGGGGAACTGTTCTGGCTGAAAGCTCACCTGGCAGAAACATTTTTTGTTTTGCTGTCATGTTCTGCCAGATCCCTGAACCATGGTTCACTGCACGGGTACACAAACAGTTCTTCTGGCTAAACAACAGAGGTGGTGCTGGGGTGAGTGCTCTGTAAGCACCACTGATCAGTTCTCTTTACTATGCATACCAGGACGGCCTCAAATATTGGAATAAAAGGCCCTTTTTTGAAGAGCTGTGTATTAATGTTACCCTTTCAGTAGAACATTGAGTACCCACCTTGTTTGCGTATTTTCATTTAGTGAACTTCTGAGTTGCGTATGAGACTGGCAGCAAACCACGATGTAGTTTAATGATTGGTAGCATCTGTTGGAGAGAGCAGCAGTTCCCAAGATTCAAAGAGCAAACACGTTTGCTCTCTAGGGCTCAGGTGCTACAGCAGAACTTTGTGAGGCACTGTCTGAATTGCTGCTGGTTCCAGTCATTGTTCTCTTCTTGCAAATGTTACCTCACAGTTTTAACATTTGAAATTCCACAAAACTGATGCAGATGGGCAGTCATACATCTTGTAAAACCAGAGCCAAAAATAGCAGTAGGAGTCTTCTTGTTTTGAGTGTAACAATGCACATTTTCCCCAACAACTTGTGGCTCAGAAGCATGCCTTCTCAGAACTAATATTGCCACAGTCTCTTCTTGGAAGTGAGTGGTGTTCATATGCTTTGTTTGCACAGAGGATCGTACCATGGAGGCAGCGCTTACACACTGGGATTGACAGCTGTTGGTCTTTATAAGCATGGTGTTGCCAATGGCCTTGGCTGTTCAACAGTGAGACTTTTATTATTATTTTTTAAATAATCTGGGTTACAGTTTATTTGAATGTTTCAACAATTAGCCCATTTTCTGTTTTCAAAGTGCTTTATGATCAGTAACTAGATGGCAGCATAGCTGTTGCTGCAGTGTAAGCACAAGAAGATTCAGAGTCCCTTTTCTTTCTCTGTAGTCACTTAAGCTAATTTGAAGTCAGGGCATCCATAGCACAAGTGGTAATAATGTACAATTCTTAAGTTATGCTTGGTGTTTGCATGGAGGTCTGTATAAGGTGCTAAGTAATAGTGCTCAGAACCCCTTTTCTCAGTTTTATTTTCCCGAATCTGTGCAAAGCTGCTTTCAGCTGGTGTGAAGTAGATCCTTCCCTGGAATGAAAAAAAAGCCTATGATGTCCCTCATTTCAGCAAGACAGGAGACGTGTCTGTTGGAGACAAGCTGTAGATAAATGGCAATATGTTATCTCCCTGCCGATGAGCAGATGGCAATGACCTTCTGTCTACTAGAAGCTGACACTGGTTACTCTGATCTGCACTGGTGATAGCTCAGCCACAGCACTGGTAGGCTCCTCTATAGCAGCCTCCCAACCTCGCTTAGTAAACGAGTTGCCTAAAGCCATGTGGTATTTCATAAGCAGTTGTAATTACTCTAGTAGCTCTGCCTACCTCTTTGTATTTTGCAGATTTTTATCATTCTGGAAGTACTACCAGCAACTCTAAAATGTTGCTATGATTCTTAGATAACCAAAACTGCAAACTGACTCAAAGAACAAAATGAAGGAAATCATCAGTAGAGTGACTGGTGCTGGAATAGTCTATAGACTTGTTGATTCCAAAACTGTCTCTGTTTTACCATTGCTTGAGCTGGGTATGCCCTTTGACTTGAACAGGCTTTTTTAATTTTTTTATATTAATCATCCCTAAGTATGATCAAAACATCTCTCAGAAAGGTGACATCAAATCTGGGGCTATTTCTCTTTAACGCTTGACAGACAATGTTGCCAGATGTTTTTCGTGGCCCATGGGGAGGCAGCCATTGCAGAGATTCTCCAGTGCAAACTGTTCGAAAATGCAGCTGTTCTGAAGGTGGGTCAATGACAAAGAGTGTTTGGCTTTTAGGTTAGAGAATACTAGAGGGCTGTGGACATAGGGTATATTTACCTCCTTATGAAAGGTCGACCTCTGGTTAGGATTTGCAAGAGCAACCAAAGAAGCCACTGTGAAGAGTTTCAGGTACCTGCTTCCCACTGAGAAAATCTGGGGGCACGTGGTACCTCATATTCTCAGATTTCTTAAAATCGCAGACTTTCTTTGCAGCATTTGTCATGGTCAGCACTGGAAGCTGTGGAACTGTTTCACATATGTGGAAGAACAGAAATGTTGATTGGTGTTTTTTGCCATTTCTGAAGTTTTGACAGCTCTCCAGCTTTTGTTTTGCAATACTACTGGTAGTAAAGACAACCTGAAGCTGATGATAGACAAGAAGTCTTTCAGAGGGCAAAACATTGCATAAGCAGCACAATCTGAAAGCTCCTGTGTTGATTTCCTGTTAAAAACAATTACAGAAAATTTTTTCCACTGCTTCAATGGGCACTCTTTAATATTTTAAATCACATGCATCCATAACAATGTTTTCTTTTTAGCTTTCACCTCCCTAGCAAATGTACTAAGTGCTTACATTAGCTGTATTAAATGCTCTGTTCTTTATTTCAGTATAGACTGATAGGCAGCTGTATTCTCCAGAATCCTCAGACCTGCAGTAACTTAACAATTTCTTATGTCTTATGCTGATGTTTATTAACCCCTGAGAAAGTGTCTGCTTGTTCCTTCTGCTAATGTGTAGGTGACTCACAAACACTTTCTCTAACCTTTAGCTGACGGTTGCGTATAATGTGTAACCTCTTACTGTCTGGCAGCTTTGCTTTGCTGCTTTGGAACGTGCGTTCCTTAGGGTATAAATGGTTTAAGAGAACATAAGGGACTCTTTCCTTTAATGTTTAGCATTTTATTGGGTATTTGAGAGATGATACTTACTGCACCATCAGATAATATTTGTTGCTTAGATGTGTAATTTCATGTTCTGAAACTAGTTTTGTGTCATTTAAAGTAAATTGGCTTTAAACTGTTTCCCCTGTAAACAGGTGTATGTCATGCAAACAACCAGTACATTGAACAGCTCAAAGATACTCTGAACACCACTGTGCCAAAGACAATAGCTGGATTTATTGCTGAACCAATTCAAGTATGTAGCTTGCCATTTTGCAAGTACTGCAAAACATTCAAATGATTTTGTTTCTAATGCCTCCTTCCAAATTTCATACTGCTTTTCTCTTTACTGTTTCTGTAAACTTTAACTCAGTCCCCCTTCTACCCCTTCCTGGCTGTGTTGTCCACTGTATTTTTAGCAGCTCTTACTGTGCGGTGGCCGCAGGATTAATTATCTTGGTGCTTCACCCCAGTTTCAGAACTGCTGTATATCTGATTCATAAATTGAAAGAATGGAGAATATATCCCAGCAACAGCAAAGACAAGGAAAAAAAGTGAAAATTGTGACAACAGAGAAAATTGGAGCTGTTCCCTGTTTTTGCTGTCTTCTAAGCCTTCACATAATTAGGCCTAAGAAGCCATTGCGATCCAGGTGTAAATTGGAGTTCCTGATCCAAATTGAAACTGGCCAGGTGAACAGAAATTGAGGAAACAATCTTAAAACAAAGGGTGGGATGTGAATTCTCTGGTTAACTTTGCCTTCGGACACAATTTCTGAGTTTCTCAGTGTGTAGGTTTTCAAGGTAGTTGTTTGGGCAGTTTGTCTTTAATTGACTCTGTCTTACAGTGATCCAGTTCACAGTATGGCCTCACAAACATTTATACCAGCACAACTAACGGATCAGCAAACTGACTGGTGAAATGGAAATGAGTGACCTGAGCAGTAACTTCTTGAAGCAGTTTCACTGCTGAAGCCAGAAACTTGAGTCAACAGTGTTGCTATTACCTGTGGGCTGCTGGTATTTTTTCTTATTATAGGATAGTCACACAATGGAACTCCCATTTCCTTGTCTGTTCCTGAAGTAATTGTCTTTGTTGATTTTTTTCGTTTAATTATTTTGTCTTGGCAGGGTGTTAATGGAGCTGTTCAGTACCCAAGAAATTTCTTAAAGGAAGCTTATCAGCTAGTCCGGGAAAGAGGGGGCATCTGTATTGCAGATGAAGTAAGGTTTTTGGTTTTTGTTTTTTTTTTAAACATAAGAGGAGCTCTAGTTTGAGGTACCTCTGGAAGTCATCTTAAAAGAATTCTTAAAAGAATACAAGTGAAGGGAAAGCAGAAGCCTGGGAAGTAATCTAAAGGAAACGCTACACACTTCATAGCTTAAGTTTTGTACAGGGCATTTTTCCAAGCATCGTAGCCTCCCAGTTTTTACTGCTTTATTCCCAGTTTTTACTGCCTTTATTCTACTATGTGGTATTCTGATTTTAGACATAGGTAATATTAGTAGCAGACTTCAGTCCTTACCTTTTGGGAACAGTGAATTCACACAAATACGCAGCTAGTAAGTGCCAGCTGTGATGTGAGGTTTGTTGCGTAACACTTACGAGTGTTGTTGGCATTTATAAACTCGAGAAAGAAGTTGATTGATGTACTCCTGCAAATGCATTTTATAAAACAGAATTTGCTTAGCTAAAGCTATTTTGAAGCAGTAGAAAATGTTTCAAAATTATGGTGATGCGTACCTCAAGCATTGCAGTAGTAGAAATCAGTAATTTTGAGATTGGTTTTGAAATACAAGGCCACTCTCCATTTTGAAATGGAAGCTGCAGCTTATTTGTGCTTGTCACCATGCCCAAGATGTGACGTTATCACTTTCAAAAGTGGAAGAAAAAGCCAATTACAAATTTTGTGCAAAGTCATCTGCATAAGGATGCTAATACAAGTAGACTCCAGGTGTAGTTGTAGTATAATGCAAATCAGTAACGAGAGAAAGGAGAAAGAAACCATGTTGTAAAATGTCAGGGAGTGATAGGGATTTCTGTGGATCTTTCTTTTGAAAGGTACAGACGGGATTTGGACGGACAGGCAGATATTTGTGGGGTTTTCAAACTCATGATGTAGTCCCTGACATTGTTACTTTTGCAAAAGGAATTGGTAATGGCTTTCCAATGGCGGCTGTTGTTACATCAAAAGGTATGAGTGTTCTGTTCTGCTAAGATTCAAAATGGAGCAATTTAAAAATATATTATACAATAATTACTTACTATGTGTTCAAACAGCTGAGCTTCATTAGTAATCTTTGTCACAGTCCATCTTTCGACAAATGGATTGGATTCTCATGACTCATTTGTTTTACTAAGGGCTGTGCTATACCAGTGCAAAGATTTTTTTAAATGGGACGAGTTGCATAACTGAAGCGGGGATGATCTTGTGAGTCATTGGTACACCTGGATCCTGAAAATCCTCACTGAATTTGCCATTTTACTAAACAATGTACTGCAAGTATGTATGGCATCAGGATAGCTCGTTGATTCATGAAATGACTAGCCGACTCTAGAGAAGGAAATTTGTAGATGTCAGTTTAAAGGGATAACTGACGGCATGTGTTAGAAGTGTGACCTTTTTTTAAAAGTCTGGTTTTAGCATCTGCCTGACTCTAGTTTTTAGAAATAGCCATATATTCCACAGACTACTTGCAGGAAAAAAAAAATCCCTCCTATTGCATTATCTCCAGCAGAGTCAGGGTTAAAGCACAGCAGATTTAACTTAAGAGTTGAGCTAAAACTGGTGAGTACTGTTACCAAGATAAAGCCATTGTAAGAGTAACCAGTGTTGTTCTTTTTCTTCTAGAGATTGCAAGTCCCTTGGCTCAAAACCTTCACTTCAATACATTTGGAGGAAGCCCTTTAGCCTGTGTAATTGGAGCTGCAGTTCTTGATGTAGGCAGAACTTTATATAAATTTATACATTCCATGCTTTCTCTTCTAGCAAAAGATGAAAAATGTAAACATTTATCCTTACTATAAAGCTATATGTGAGAAATTTTTTTGATGAGTATAAAATGCATAAACATATTCATGTATTACAGTTGTTTGGTAAAAGGCTGCCTAGTACACGTCAGTATGCCTTGTGAAATGATAGGCTTCTCATGACACTGACAAAATTAAAATATTTCTGGTAAGATTTTGAAAATAATCCTGCTGGCCAGGTATTTCTAAGTTTTGACTACATGTAAGCATGAGTTATTGGATTATGTTTATGGAATAGTAAGTAAAATGTGAAAATGCCACAGCAACACAAGTAGTACTCTGATGCCATTAGAGGACTATAAGAGAAAAAACATGTGAGGACCATAGTGGAAGGAAAGCAGTCTGCAAGGAAGTGAGATGAGTGTTAATGAGTCATCAAGCTAAATGGGGATTAACCAAGTATATTGGAAGCTTGTCCCACAACACTGTTGTAGTGTATCATTTTAACCAGGCAATTGAAGAAGATGGTCTACTAAAAAACTGTGAGGATGTGGGAACTTATATGCTATTGGAGTTGGCCAAACTACGGGATAAATTTGAGATTGTTGGAGATGTCCGTGGCAGGGGACTTATGATTGGAGTGGAGATGGTGACAGATAAGGTTAGTGATATACTTTATTCCTTTCACTTTACAGTGTCATTGAAAATTCTATCACATTTTATTTCTGTTGAAATAATAGAAAGATTTTTCTGTTAAAAAACAGCTAGCAAAATGAGAAAACATTGCTCTGGCTAAAAATGAGCCAGAAAATTGCAGCATTTCACATATTTCACAAGCTTTGAGTAAACAGTGACTCGTGTACCTTACTTGCACAAATTTACCTCAGAAAGCAGACAAATTATGCAGCTAATTTTTGTAGCCAGAGATGGGGGTGGGATTTATTGCAGAGACTGGAAAATAACTAAGTGAGAATATCTAAGTGAAGTTCAGTGTTTTCTTTCCTCAGTACAGTTGCCATCCTCTTCCAGCTGAAGAAATGGCTCAGATCTGGGAGGACTGTAAAGACATGGGGGTTCTGATCGGCAAAGGAGGACTCTACGGCCAGGTACTGAACCTCTGGTTATACATAAAGCTTATTTTCTGTCCTCACAAACTACATTCCTTTCCCTCAAGCTAAACTCAGTTTAGTAAATAAACCGGAAAACGTACTCTTAGGATCTATCTTTGTTTAATTTCTCTTATTTTATAAATCAGGAAGGAGCTGTCTGACCATTTTCAAGTATGCTGAACTAGCTCTAAGCTTGGAGTTTTCCTTCAGAGGGACAACTTCCCCTAGAAAAGTACTGTAGTATCTGTTAAGTAGAAGAAATCAACAATATTCAGGCCTGCTGAGTCTTTGCTGCTGTTCAGGTTATCACCTGACCTGTCAGTACAGAACAAGGTTTGGTTTACTAGTTCCTTCCATCTGGAGAGGTATTAACGTTCTACCTGCATGGTAATAAAAAAAAAATAATGAGTTGTTAGTAGGAAGCTCAGCAATGGAACACGAAAGTGAGCATTGCATGGAATGAGCATCAGCCCATACCAATTGAAGAGGCACTGTGCTGTACCCCCCCACAGGGTCCTACAGCTGTGAGTTAATAGCAGAGAGCTGCCTCAGGGCTGGTCAGGTCACTGAAGTCCTCTGACACAGGAAGCAGCTTCTGGATGACAGAGACGCTGCATCTGTCACCTCACTGGTTCCTCTGCGAGTCCCAGACCCGCACACGGGTACCAGGATGCAGCTCAGGACATAGTGAAGTCTGATTCTGTCCTGTGAGAGTGCTGGTTTTCTGTGGTTGTTAGCTTCAGTGGGGGTTGTGGGTGGGAAGCACTGTTACTCCTCTCTTCCTGTATAAAGTCCTGTGGTAGAATACCAGAAAAACTTAAGCTGACAAAAATACTGAAAGTTCAGTATTTATGGAAGTTAAATATTCTTTGAAACATTATAATACAGATCAAACATTTGAATGTAAGAACCTACATTCTTGAGAAAAACTGCTTATATCCCTTCCTGACCAACTTGCATTCAAGCTATAATACACTAACTGGAAGTTAGTATTTAGTGATTCTTTGGTAATACTTTCTCTTTGAAGTCTTTAAAAAAAAGCCTGTGACAGCAAATCAGCTGACAAATCAGCAAGAGCCTGCCACTCTAAACAGATAACTGGTTTTCCCTGTACCAAAGCTGACAGAAAGGAAAATATGCCTATGTCTCTGTTCTTTATTAGTACAAATCCTCATTTTACACAAGATCTGTGTGGAGTAACAGCTGCAAACAGGGCCTGCTCTCATCAGGTCTCTGTAGGAGGCAGTTGCTTTGTCACAAGAGTGGAGTGGGGAGTTGTGTGCAGTTGAATCCAAAATTGCATCACATCAGAGTGCATTTATCAGAAGGCTCAGGCCCTGTTCTTCTGTAATACTATTTTTCACGCTTTTGGTCAGGTTTTTTTTTGTGCAGAAGGTGAGTGCTGACTTAGATGAGCTGCTAGAAACTGTATTAATACTTTCCATATGGTTTTAACATTTTTTCCCCCTCCTCCCCTCTCCTCAGACATTTAGAATTAAACCTCCTCTGTGCATTACTAAAAAGGACGTCGACTTTGCTGTGGAAGTATTTCATACTGCTTTGCAGAGGCATGTGGAAAGAGCAACTAAAAAATAGAAGTCCTCTGTTCTTTACGTGAGATGCCGCCCAGACTCAGCGCTTACCTACACTGGCTAAGAAAAGAATAGAAAATCTGAAGACTAAATGTGTGCTGAGTAGCGTGTGAGCGGCCTGGCAGATGCAGTGTTTAATAAACGTGTTGGTTTATTGGAGTGCACTCTGACCTGCCCAGTGAGCACGCAGCCCAGTTGTGCAGTGGTGGGGTGTGGAAGAGCCGTGCGCTGCTCTAGCGCTGGAGTGAAAACCGTTCACTGGGTTAACTGGACAGCAGATGGCAGAGGCAGATCTATATTCATCCTTCTAGGAAAGTCCTATCAAAGATGCTCATCTCCAGAAAGGCTGGCAGGAAAGTAATGAAGTTGGGACCCTGTAGCACCTGTAGTCCCTGGGAGGTCAGTACCAGCACTGCAGTGCCTCCTGCTGCCCTTCCCTCATGCCTTGTACCCCAACAGCGGGCCCCCAAAGGGCTGAGTGTTGATGTGTGGGCAGCACTGCTGGGTAGTCCCCAGCAGCCTCCCGCAGTGGTCACTACTGCTCCTGCTCCCACCCTTTCCACCAAAACCTACATCCAGGCATTTATAAAACACACATATGATAAAGTATTCAGGTTTATATAAATAAGAGGAAAAAAAAAAAAGTGAAAAAGCAATACTGCTGGGCTCAGTTTGTGAGTCATAAGCAATCTTTGGCTGAGAACCACCCTGAGCAGGACATAACTCAAAGTTCCAAAGTTAAAACTGTTTACCCTTACTACAGAGATACACCATATTATAGCATGGGGGGGGAAAAAAAAAGTTTGCCCAAAATTGAAGACTTCCTAATTACAATAATTATCATGGTATTCTGATCCAGTCACCATCCTCTCCAAAACAAGCCTTTCTTTTCTTCTGCTGCTTTTGAGATCACATAGCACACCCCTTAGTGATTTAGCAGAGATGCAAACTGGCTCGTGAAATAAGATGCCACGTTTCTTTCTTACATAATCGCTTCTTTTAATTTTTTCATTCATTATTTCTTCCAGTTTCCAACAAAAACAAAACAAACAAACAAAAAAAAGTTGATACATTTTAAAAAAAAAAAAAAAACAAAAAAAAAACCAAAAAAAACAACCAACACACCCCACTGTTGTGGACAGTCAGCAAGAACTGTACGTCTATCAGTTTACTTTCACTCAGGTTTTAATGTTTAAATAATGCCTTGACACAGTAAAGGTGCCATGTCAACTTGTGGGGGAAGGAGTAGTCTGCCATTCTGTGTGATGAGTTGAAACATAATGAAGCAGTTGAATTTAAGATCCTC